GTGGTGGTGGGGGGGGGGGGGCCTGTGTTAGGTTAGTAGATTTTACATCGATCGCATTTTTCTTTTTCCTCTTTTCAATTCAATAATGACGTACAGAAGGAAATAAGTAATGTAAGTTAAAAAATGTTCAAGAGCCTGTTGTTAATAGTGCAGTTTTTAATGTTTACAGAGTTAGTATAGACAGGGCCCAATCTAGGAGGAGGGGCAAGCAGGGGGAAACAGCCTAGGGCGGCCCATGGGTGGTTCATTGATTACTAGACAGTAAGAAATAAAATTTAAAAAAATAAGAACGCTAACGACCACTTCTGGCCACACATCAAAATTTGGAGAACAAAAAACTGTGATGAATTTCATAGGTATGGAATCTACAAGTCGACAAACAATAAGTCCCCATTTGGAATTTTATAAAAAAGCCATGGGTATTTATTTTAAGGTTAAAGAAAGAAAGAAAAAAAGTCATCCCAAAAGATATGAACAAACCCAAATCTTATAATTTATTTAAAAAAACTAGCAGTGACCTGTTAAGTTATGAAACAAAGTAAAACATTGAGTTCAGTACAGTCAAGGGTATTTATTTTAAGGTTAAAGAAAGAAAGATAAAAAGTCATCCCAAAAGATATGAACAAACCCAAATCTTAGATTTTTAACACTCCCCCCCCCCCCAAACTCCTTACCCCTCTAACTGAACCAGGAATTTTAAACTAAAATTTCCCTGCCTTGTGGTTCATATTTTTATGTGAGATCGATCCCAAGTTACTATTTAGCACTCCATACTGCTGCATCTGAGTGTGAGATCACAACCAGCAGTAATAAAAAAACAACTTTGAGCTTCTGTGTTAATCAATTTAAATAAACCCCACACTGGGTTCATCAAAGGTGAAATTAGTCACTGCGTTTCTTGTCTATTTTAAAAATAATTATACATTTACATATAACTTTGTTATAAATATTACACATGAAATTAAGGAATGAAATAACTGTATGCTCCCTCCCACTTCCTGGCATACACAGATCTTTTTCTTTCTTTTTGTTTAAATGAGTAACTCAAAGGGGTTTAGACTGGACGTATTGATTTAATCACTTTGAAATCTCTTTCAAAACTCCTGAACAATCTCAGGGCATTCATACGGTACAATCTCTGTCATGCCGCTTCATTGCCTTATTAACATACTGACATTCAAACTCATGTCATTGGGACATTCAAATCTCATACTGTTGTATGAACTCATGGAATAAAGACATACAAACGCATGTCATGTCATTGAAACCATACAATCTCATTCAAGATGCACAATGTCCTTCAGATTCATATAGATGCATACACCCAAGCAGTTACACAAAAGCTTTTTCTGTTGACTAAGGCCATATCAATATTCGTTGTTGTTTGTCTATTGTTCCGCACCAGGCAGAGTTTCTTTGATACTTTGATCAACCTTTATGTTTGTTTGCAGCCATGAAGGCTTCGACACCAAATCACCCCCAACATTGAGTTTAAAAATAACATGATTGCCCTAAATTCAAATTTACTGACATTCACGCTAGCATTTATTTATACATGATTTTCAAATTTATGGAAATGTGATAACATCAGAGAGAAAGAGAGAAAAAAATTCAAATAACAAGCTTCATTCAGGCTAAGACATCCTGAGATATGTTTAAATCCAAGCATCTATCAAATTAACACGCAAGCATTTCCCCAAAAGTGCAACCAAAAATCCCCCAGAACACCCCAAATAAAAACCAAATGTAATAACTACTGAAACAAATTCTTCACCTAATGCCGGCCGTGGGGAGCCCTATTCCTGAGACGTGGGGACCAATGGCCTAGTTACAAGATTTCATGTTCATTCATTGGTTTCAACAGGCAGGGAGAGGGGTGGAGGTGGGCTTGTTCAATATTCCTGACATGTATGACCAGGCAGGATTAAAAAAAACAAAAGCAAATGTCCTCAGGTCTGAACCTAGCGCCCTCAAGATAAAGTTAGCGAATCTTAAAATTGTTTTCCCAGGGAGGATGTCTTGACACCCCCCTCCCCCTTTTCTCCCACTGTTAATCAAACCAACGAGTCCAGAACATTGTAACATGATGTCCGTCTGTAGGTTCGATGTCAGGCATCCCGTTGACCTCGATACTGCCGGCCTGGAGAATAAACTGTCTCTCTCTGTCCTTAAGCCGCCGTGCATCAAACGATGGCCATGAATGAAACTCTCTTGTGCTCATGGTTCCAGCTGAATGCGTTGTTTAACTTTAGAGATCTTGCTTGGAAACCTTTTTTTTCAACATTCCCTAGTGATATCAAAGAATCCAAGTACTGTTCACAGTTGTCATATTACTGTTCCACAATGTCATGTTATTCTGTAGGTCCATTCCTGGGGACATAAATTTAAAAAAAAGGTTTCATTGTGAACTTTGACCCTAGCAACCGGCAAAATAAAAAAAAAGTTATTATTACTACCGGGTACCAAAGATTGTACAATTTTTTAAAACTATTGAAATTTTGCAGTTGTGTTTTAAAATATGTCATTTATTAAAATTTAATCTCCACGACACAGTCTGCATTTCTCTACATTTCTCTGCACTGCTGACACCAAGCAATAATTCAGAGTGATTTTATTATTGATACTGTCTATCATTTGGCTAGTATTAATTGCAACAAAAAAAACAGGCTTAGACTGAATGCAATTCTGACCCATGAGGACACAGGAGAATGGCCACAGACAATACCATTGTATGGTTTACCGGACATCATTTAAAAACAGTCCAATGGCCACAGATAAGACCATTGTATGGCTTAAGGTACATCATTTAAAACACAGTCCAATGGCCACAGCTAATTAAAAAAAGTAAAACCTCTCTGTTGGTATTCTATATTATTTAAATCAACTTTTTAATTCTATAGATAACAACATTAATTTAGAAAAGCTGGATAAAGACATCAGGGAATTTACCTGCACCATCGTCAGCACCAGGGACAAACTCCTTTAACAAGTACATCATTAGAGCACTGATTGCCCCTGATGCTGGCAGAGTGACCACCCATGCGATTAGAATGTTCCGGAAGAGTGACCAGTCCACGTTGTCGTTGGAACGGACACGTCCAGTGAAGACGATGGAGCCCACTTTACAGTGTGTGGTTGAGATGGGAATGCCAACATGGGAGGCAATCAGGACAGTCATGGCTGCACCGATCTCTATACAGAATCCACTGTTTAAAAAAGAGAAAAGAAACAGTCAAACAAGTATTGAAAGTAGAACTTCAGCAGTCAAATAAATGTTGGAAGTAGAACTTCAGCAGTCAAATAAATATTGGAAGTAGAACTTCAGCAGTCAAATAAATATTTAAATCAATTTGTGGGCAGGGGAAGATTAAAGTGGGTGCTATTGATGTTGCAGCATTAGGCGCATTTCTTTATTATTAATCATGTTCAATAAAGGCTGGCTGGTTGGGTCGCAAGCATTTAAGTCTCTTTGGTTGGTCCTGTACGACGACTCAAATGCACATGCCTAGAAAGAAATAGGCCTTTTTTACGCTGCAGCATAAGGCCCAATTTGGTCTTAATTGGGCCCACATTGTGGCGTGCTCAATTTTTTTTCCTTACGAAGTAGAGGATTTAAAAAGAAAGAAAAAATAACATTAAATTATAATGCTATAGTTCATTCAAAGCGTATCTCAGTGTCGATCTGTATTCATAGTGGATTATTTTATATTAGATTTTGGTCACATAAATACATCACATTTTCCCCCATTTGTTCAAGCAAAGTTCCCTTAAACAGACACTTAAAAGAATATAATGCAATATTGAGATTTACATACAACACCCTCACGTGCACTCAACCACTAGATTAAATGCACCAGTTGTTTCAACCATTCAACAGTGTTACCCATCGGTTAATAGCAATACTTTATTTCCTCCCGTACCTTGAGGGGGTGATCTTTGACAAATCCTCGCCCATAGTTTTAATGACCCTACGGCCGAGGATCCAGAGTCCAACGCTGATGCCGGCGCCACCGTACAATAAAATCCAGATGGGCGTCGGCGCTTTCTGTGCCACACTGTGCTCGTTGCTGATCATCCACACGGCCACCAGAGGCCCGATGGCATTACTGTAACGGAAAGATGAAAATGCATTTCACTCTAATTTAAATATATCAATGGTTTACAAGTCACAAAATACAGTTATAATATCAGGCTACATCCAGTGGTCTTCTGTTAAGTCATATCACACTTATCCGAGAAGTTTGATGATTGATGATGTACGTTCATAATTATTATTCAAATCGCTGTCCAAACCTCTTATAATCAGAAATCTGAAAAGTCATTACCACTTTTTTTTAAAAAACATTCTCCCTTATGTGTTCACAATTCAACTTCTTCACGTCAAGCATAAAAAAAAAAATTAAAAATGCTCCGTCAGCATACTACTTAAGTGCCATATTAAGAAAAACATGGAAGGTTTACAAGTACAAAAAGTCATCTCATTTCTATTCCATTTTTTTTCCGTAAATATTTTTTAAATTTTAAGCACAACTGTGGCAGTTCATCATATCAATGGTTAAAATAAATAACGAAAAGATATTCCATTCATTTACAACAGAGAAATTAAAACCTTGTCGTGTTTCTTCACCCGTAAAATGATATTTTGGGTAAATTTTTTTTTTTTTAAATGTAACACTTGAAAAAACTGAGGTCTCGCACGCTAAGATAATCAAACTGTTTACCTGACATCATTTCCTCCATGAGCAAAAGCACCAAAGACGGCAGTCAAGATTTGAAGGAATGAAAACAAAGACTTTGTCTCGGGCTTGTCCACTATGGCAGCACGTTTCGGCTTTTTAGTGTGCTATGCATGGAGCAAAATAATGAGTTATTTCTGGGTTGGGGGAGATGTTTGAAAGTTGCCTATTTCTCAAACAAAAATACAAGTAACACATCATTTATCAATAGTAATTTTTTTTCAATTTTATAACAATATAAGCCAAACAGGTAGAAATTATATTAAATATTTTTGGTCATTATGATGAATGATCAACAAAACATAAATATATTCACAGACCTCAGATATAAAGACATGACAAAAGGTAATAAGAGGAAAATTTATTATCTAATGACGATGTGGCACAGACCCCCCCCCCCCCCCCCCCCAAAGCTTTTCAGTGTGAAGCTCTTTAAGACGGTGAGGAAAGTAAAAAAACTATCACTAAATCTGGCCGCAAGTGCCTGTCACAATTGGTAGAGTCGTCTTCTTTTCCAACGATCTTAATTTGGTTTCCCTTTACAAATCGTTGTCGGTTTAAGGACAGCAGATTTTGAGAATCACTTCTTTACAAATTCTTCACACAAAATGTTAAGACTCCAGCAACTGGATTAAACTCCAGCAAGTATATTTTTTTTTATTTCACAGTTTTATGTATTTAAACATTGAGTGGTCATATATTGCATCCAACAATATGTGTTTAACATAACCCTGAGACACAGATGGGAACTTACCCGAGGCTCTGTTTCAAGAAGAGTATCACAACCGTCATTTTGGCTCACTGTCAAATAATTTTTTTAAGAAAAAAAAAAAAAATTAACAAAGGACTTGAGACAGGTCGAAAAAATTAGTCTTGTATAATCTCAAATCAAATACCCACATGATACAATAATCAACAAATTACATTTTGATCTGTACAATGCTCTGCCAAAATGTTGGTCATCATTTATTCTGCTCAGCTTAGACCGTCACATATGTTTAGAAGCACTATTTCAAGTTTGTGCTACTGCTATGAGCATTTTCTAGTCCATGCGTCATCAATGTTTTTTTTTTTTTTTTTTAAAGAGAAGAGCCCTTCTTTCTCTATTAAGGGAGCTGAGCCCCAAGCAGGGGCGGGTTTATAAACAAAAAGAACAGCAAGTTTGCAACCTCTGTTCTAGTCTACAGTTCGTGTCAGTGTCAAAGGAAGTTTAATTGCAACTTGTGTAGCATGTTGCGATGATTGGTCTTTTAGAACTGGAACCCTTAAATTCTCCTTGTGTCACTCTTCAGAGAGTTTGAGATCCCTTGGTTTAAATAAAATTTTAACTAAGCCAATTGATTTATATTCCACCTCCCTATATTCACTTGAAATTACCTGTAAACTTACAGAGGGAAACTATTTTTCTGACAATCTAAGCTTGCACTATTCATTTATTTATAAACTTCAAAGGTGAGGAGGTTAAACAGATATCAAAGGCAATAGCCAAGGTGTAAATATGAAAATGGTTTAGAATTAAAAATCATGAAATAATGTTGATCTTAACCAGTTATGTCGTTGAACCTAAACCAGTCTTGTTGAACCTAACCAGTTTTGTTGTTGAACCTAACCAGTTGTGTTGATGAACCTAACCAGTTGTGTTGTTGAACCTAAACCAGTTGTGTTGTTGAGCCTTACCAGTTGTGTTGTTGAAACTAAACCAGTTGTGTTGTTGAGCCTAAACCAGTTGTGTTGTTGAAAATAAACCAGTCGTGTTGTTGAAAATAAACCAGTTGTGTTGTTGAACCTAACCAGTTTTGTTGTTCTAACCAGTTGTGTTGATGAACCTAACCAGTTGTGTTGTTGAGCCTAAACCAGTTGTGTTGTTGAGCATTACCAATTGTGTTGTTGAGCCATACCAGTTGTGTTGTTGAAACTAAACCAGTTGTGTTGTTGAACCTAACCAGTTGTGTTGTTGAACCTAACCAGTTGTTTTTTAAACCTACCCAGTTGTGTTGTTGATTGACCTGCTCCTGTTTTTTCACTGTCAACAGGAGTTGGACTTTGCTCTAGGTCTCCTTGGTAATTCTGTCCAATAGACCAAAGAAACACTCTGTAAGGATTTATTATTTAATTCCTAGCAGTACAAATGCATGCTGGAACACAAAATTTTGAAATGTACGTAATGTCAGCTAATGGCCTGAAATTGGTTAAGTATATTTTAAATCTATTTTTCAGGTAATGATTAAAAATAATAGATTTATACGGATTCCCAAGGCTTAATCCATGGATAGAGATCTGCTTACAGGATTAATAAAACTTTCCCAAAATAAAAATTTCATGGCCAAAACCTCAAGAGTTTTGGGGCAAAAGTGACCTACTTTTGGGCAAATTTAGCCTCTTATTTTATTTTCATCTTTAAAGCTTTGAGTATTTTATGCATGAAACAAAAAATTTACCCCGTTGTGTGCATGGTCATTGTGTAGGAGCTTTTCTGATATCACTGTCTCTGCATACTTGCAGCCTGAATCTGAGACATTAAAAAAAATATATACATATAAAAAAAATCCTATTAATTTGTTCAATATGTGTTAAAAAGTTTTTTGGGTTTTTTTTTTTCTTCTTTTATCTCTGTTCTAAAACTTGCTGAAAGTGATACTCCCCACAATTCTGCAGTGAAATCTCTTTGAACTGATCATGGCTGAACAACAAAAAGAAACACCTATGAATGAGAACATGCAATAATGTTCTATTTACAAACAGCAACTCCCCAACAGGTCATTAAATAAAAATAAAATTCTCTAAAGATCAACTTGTTAATATAATGAGCATACCTCCATTGAATCCATTTGAATAAATAAGTGCTTCTGTTAAAAAAAAAATACAAAAATCAGTAAGAGTTTGTTTTTTAAAATGTATATAAGAATATGCATGCATTGATCTGTCTTACAATCAGATAGGTGAAGAGGATTCAGATGAACCTAAGTGGTCTAGCCTAAAAGAGCAATTCCAGGCTTCCGATTAATATTCTTATTTAGCACCAATTGCCTTCAAAATCTACCCCCCAACCCCCAGGAAACACAGCAATAATTTTCTATACCTCAAAGCAACGAATATATATTTCTGCTCAATACATGCTGCATTTAAATCTAGATTAAAGACACACAGACATAATCCAGTTGGACAGAGAGCCATCAGAGTCACATTAAAATACCTGATTGAAGATTAATTAACTCATAGGGACATGACAAAGAGATCCAATGCATGAAACGTTGCGTGTAAAGTAAAATGGTGTCACCGCCGACCATCTCAACCAGAGATGACATAGAAAACTCATGACTCACTTTTCTTCTTATTTCTTGATCTTCCTAATGAAATGCAGCAAGATAAGTGGTCACTTTCGTCCGTGCTTTCCTGTTTGGCTTTCTCATCTTTTATCAAATCATTCTCTACAGCATCTGTTGGCAGATTTTTCAACGAGACTGAGACACAAATAATTTGGGTATTTAAAACAATATATGTTAAGCATTAATTACGATTATACAGTGTAAAAAAAAAAAAAACTTTTGGGAATATGCCTTCATCGGTACAATAAAAACATTCATATATTTATAAATTAAATTTACATAATATCTGTATTTCCTGCCTAAGAAAGAAAAGAATAAGAATGGGCATAGGTCCCCAACATAGACAGTGATCAGAAGATAACGTTAAAAATTGGATCAGTAGATACATGTTCAGATATGACTAGTGCAATTTAATAATAATAGTTATATGTACTGCAAAGTTACTTTTTGCCCCCCTAAAGGATGCAGCGGACTTTTTTGAAGAGAAAAATGTCGACACACTTGGCGCATAAGACACCCCATATTTTTTGGCGTATTTTAAGGCTTTAAGGGAAAATAACTGCATACTAAATGCCAGAAAATATGGTACATACTATTTTTCAAAGGTGGAATCCTACTCATAAAAATAAAAATTATTACAATATGTTATTATTACTTATATTTACTCCTAACATAAGTTTTTTTATCAAAAAACGGACGTGTTCCCGAGATTGTTTAGGGTGGAAGAAATGCATTTCAAGCCACGGGAAGCGCCTGGATCCGGAGCTCCATTTATGCATTTTATTCCTTATTTGAGCTATACAAATTTTAAAAAATGACAATTGTGCATTGGGGCTGGATCACTCATGAACTTTTCATTTTAAGTGTTAATGCATACATTAACAGCTGATGTAATAAATGTATAATAAAATTCTACAAATTGGCTCATTCATACAAAAAGTTGAAACTGAGTTCCTTCTGAAGACCAAAATGATGAACAGAGCCTACCCTATCATGGGAGATATCCAGATATCAGAACAAGGTGTGTTTGCCCTCCTCAATACCATTAACCCTTACAAAGCATGTGGTCCTGACAACATCAAACCACGAGTGCTCAAAGAATTAGCCAAAGAAATCGGTCCTGCACTGACAATCCTCTTCTAATCGTCACTATGCACAGGAAATGTTCCAGCAGACTGGAGAACAGCGCATGTCACTCCAATCTACAAGAAAGGGGAGCATTCCGACCCTGCCAACTATCGTCCAATATCCCTCACCAGTGTCGTCTGCAAACTGTTGGAGCACATAATCGTAAGCACAGTCATAAAGCATCTTGAAAGCCAAAATATACTAATATACTCAATGACTGTCAATATGGCTTCCGAGTCAATAGATCATGTGAGACCCAGCTTCTCGAATTTGTAGAAGACCTGATGACCAATCTGGAGAACCACAAGCAGACTAATGTGCTAGTAATGGACTTCGCAAAAGCATTTGACCGTGTGAATCATAGTTTGGTTCTACACAAACTCCAGAGATATGGGATTCAAGGCACCACTAAAACATGGATCTCTAGCTTCCTCAGCCACCGACGCCAAGCAGTAGTGGTGGGCGGTACAAGCTCCTCCTTTGTCGATGTGAAGTCAGGGGTCCCCCAGGGATCAGTCCTGGGCCCCTGTTTGTTCCTAGCATACATTAATGACCTACCGGAGAAACTGACATCACAGGCAAGACTGTTTGCAGATGACACAGCAGTGTATAGGACGATCGCCAACAGATCTGACCAGGACCAGCTACAACAGGATCTCAATCTGTTAGCTGAGTGGGAGATGAGCTGGGACATGGAATTTCACCCTGCCAAGTGCCAGACACTATCAATCTCTAGAAGTTGTACTCCTCTACACTACCAATACAAACTGCACGGCCATATTCTTGAGCAAGTTTCCTCCGTAAAGTACCTGGGTGTTACCATTCAAAGAGAGGTCCGCTGGGACGAGCATATTAACAATGTATGTAACCAAGCAAACCAAGCCTTGGGGTTCTTAAGGCGAAATCTAAAGATTGGCAACTCCTGTGTGAAAGAAAGAGCATATAAAGCCTTTATCCGTCCGATTTTAGATTATGCATCTTCAGTCTGGGACCCATTTACCCAGAAGAGCATTGACAGGTTGGAGGCGGTCCAGCGACGAGCAGCACGCTTTGTCCTAAACCGCTACAGGAATACCTCTAGTGTTGGCAGCATGCTAGAAACACTAGGCTGGTCACCATTGGAGAAACGACGACGACAATCCAGGCTCTCCATGATGTACAAGATAAATAATGGGCTGGTCCACTGTTCCAGTATTAAACAGAAACTCGTCCCTCTCCCCCATAGACAGCGACGAGGCCATGACAGGCAATTCAGGCTCATACCAGCAAGAAGCCAGTATAGGAGCTGCTCATTCCTGCCCAAGACAATCAGGAACTGGAACAATCTTTCAAAAGGAACGGTTGAGGCGACAACACTAGACACATTTGCCTCAAGCCTTCAAACCCCTAGTGCATGATTTCCTCATCAACACCAGTAACAGAAACATTGCAAATCCCATCTACATGCATAGGAGCCAAAATGATCAATAAATTGATCGTGGGCCCTTAAGATATAGAAGAAGAATATTTGTTCCAAAAAAAAAAACTTAAATTATGAATTAACATTTATTCACCAACAATTTCACATAATCAATTAACCTTAATGGCCATTAGAATGACTTCAAAGCCTGAGACAGTATTCTATCAGTCATTTTGTTCTCTATATAAGCTCGACTCAATTTATTATACACTTCAAATTTAAAGTGACTGCCCTGGTGAAAATAATTCCCATTGGAGCAAAGGAAAAGTAAAAGACCTGAGAATCAGAGCCCATTAAAAAAAACATGACCGCCAACAACAATGCTTCATTCTCCTTATCTTTGCTTCTTGCTTGTGTTGCCCCCCCCCCCTCCGCTCCGAGTAATCTGCTCTACTTTCTTTCCCAGAACACTAGAGTTATCCTTCTTGTTGCAGTTGGATAGAGTGTGTCATAAGTGGTGAGATGTCGGCAATTATGAAGGATGTCGTGAAGTGTTTTTGGACGGACGTGTTCCCGAGATTGTTTAGGGTGGAAGAAATGCATTTCAAGCCACGGGAAGCGCCTGGATCCGGAGCTCCATTTATGCATTTTATTCCTTATTTGAGCTATACAAATTTTAAAAAATGACAATTGTGCATTGGGGCTGGATCACTCATGAACTTTTCATTTTAAGTTTTATTGGTGCACACAAATGAACGTCTTTCCTGTGCACCGTGCGTAAGATGGCTTTGGGGCACCGTGCGTAAGATGGCTTTGGTGCACCGTGCGTAAGATGGCTTTGGTGCACCGTGCGTAAGATGGCTTTGGTGCACTGTGCGTAAGATGGCTTTGGTGCACCGTGCGTAAGATGGCTTTGGTGCACCGTGCGTAAGATGGCTTTGGTGCACCGTGCGTAAGATGGCTTTGGTGCACCGTGCGTAAGATGGCTTTGGTGCACCGTGCGTAAGATGGCTTTGGTGCACCGTGCGTAAGATGGCTTTGGTGCACCGTGCGTAAGATGGCTTTGGTGCACCGTGCGTAAGATGGCTTTGGTGCACCGTGCGTAAGATGGCTTTGGTGCACCGTGCGTAAGATGGCTTTGGTGCACCGTGCGTAAGATGGCTTTGGTGCACCGTGCGTAAGATGGCTTTGGTGCACCGTGCGTAAGATGGCTTTGGTGCACCGTGCGTAAGATGGCTTTGGTGCACCGTGCGTAAGATNTGAGTCGCCCTTGCAACCAGTGAAGTATCCCATTGAAACCCATGAACAGTAACATCGCAAACCCCTCTGAAACATAGGAGCCAGAATGATCAATTCATTGATCGTGGGCCCTTAAAATAAAGAAGAAAGAAGAAATATATAAATCATAACACGCTAATATTAAATAAGATTAAATGAAGAAATAAGCTGTTTTAGATTCATATTTTAAATGCCAAAGGTGGCGCCTCAACTAGTTTTCTATGAAGTGCTTTGCTCTTTTAACAAATTGTCAGAATGGGCGTCTAAGCAACGCACCACATAAACCCCATGCTGCAGTGGAGGCATGAAGGTGCACCAACATAAAATCTGTTACACACGGCTTAAAGCTATATGGAGAAAAATTTGGACGTATTTGAAAATATTAATTTAACTGTAGTTGTATTTTTTAAAATATTACATTCTGTTCATGTCTTCAAAATGATATAGAAGAAATGTTCACTCCTGTTATGACATTACCCGTTTGAAAAAAAAAATGCATGAATAATTTTGTGGGTTTTTTTGTCTTTCAACTTAACTGTAAAAATAATTATTTTAATACTGAAAAATCTTTGTGCATTCATTTAACTTTACTGTAAGCATAATTATTTTAGTACTCAGAAACCATCAGTGCATTATTTGCATATGTTTTATCTTTTTGTATCAACCACTTTGTTATTTTTATTTGTCTTGTGTACATATCAACTTCTCTAGTGTGTATAGACACAGACTTTTATTGTGTATGAAAATCACCTAAAAAGTAACTTACCCATTATCTAACTCAATATGCCACTGCACTGAAATTTTACTCTACGCAGTAGTTATGATATAAAAGAATGAAATGAACAACATAAAAACACACCCCTCCCCCAGCAGTTCATCGATGAATGTTTCCAGACTAACCTTAAACTAAAGAAATCTCTTACTCCTTACCCAAGATTCTTCTCCTCATCCAAGGAACAACACAAAATCTGACGACAGCTCCTGTGATTAATGCCAGGCCAATGGATATGATGAAAGTACCATACAATGGGATCTTATCAAAGGATAGCACTGTTGAATATGCAACAAAAAAAAATTAAATCAATGAAAACTTAATTTCAACATTATAAACGAGTGTAAAAACATGTTGAACTAAAAAAAACTATAACATTCTGGATAAGTGATGGGTGATAAGTCTCATATTGTCTACACCACATATTAGAATAATTTGCAGTTATATTCTACAGACCACACATTAGAATAATTTCAAAAATTTCAATAATAAAAACATTATTTTCCCGTATTTTAAGAAATATAATATTGTTCCAGACATTTGCATAATAAAAATCCAAGATAAATGTGTTGTTTGATTTAGTCAAAAGCTAGCAATCAATAAACATTTGTGTTTGTGTTAACTGTGCATGTCAAGTTGGAAACCAGGCCAGGCCGGATGAGTTGGGAATCATTCTTGTCTAAAACAGGTCATTCAAAGAACCCGTACTGGGTGTTTCATTACACAACAGTGTGCATAAAACAGATAATTCAAATAACCCATACTTGGTATGTCATTACACAACAGTGCATCAGTTTAATTTGAAATTAGAAAATCCTTCCATGTGGTTTTCCAATATTTTCAGAATAGTTAAATGATTTTTACTCCCATCAGCATACTAGACCGAGAGGGGATATCACTTGACTGACAGGGAACATGACTTGACTGACAGGGAACATTACTTGACTGAGGATATTCTCTCAAATCGGTGTTGAAGAAAGAAAAAAGCACCAAAGAAGACATCGCAGTAGGAATTTTCATCATTCTGAGAACCTGCTGCGATATACTTACACACTGATCCATCCAAAAAGATAGAAATAGCATTGATAAATATAGTAGCAGCATAGAAAATCGGTAGCAGTTTCAGGCCAGGTTCCAGAGGTTTCTCCTAAAAAATATGTTAAAAGGTTAAAAAGATTAATATAATATGTTCATGTAAGTAGGGATTATGAAGACAATAAATCAACACATTATTTAAGCTACTTAAACATTATTTACCACATTAAAAAAAAGGGCAACCCAAATAAAAAAAACTTGTTTTTAAATTTGAAGCACATTTTTTCACAGAATAAGGGCAACAACGCTCACATGTAGCAGCCCATTTAGAGCAATAGTAGGATGTAATATTTTGACAAACCTTGCTTAGCACGAATTTTCTGACAAGCCAAAACAAGGCGGCTGATATGGCACCCGCCATCACAGGGGAAATAAACCATGATGCAACTGGAAGAATAACATACACACTGAATTGATGCAACTGATGAAATGTGAACAAAACTACAATCATATTTAATATTCGTCTGGACCCTAATTAATTCTTCTACACTCAAAGTTCAAGTCTTTCTTCTCTGTCAGAGAAAACTTAAACAACAAATTTAGACACAAAGATAATCTAAAATTATAACAATATATGTACAACCACAGCAGTAGGTTTGCCATAGGCATAGGTTGTATATTTATGAAGACTATCGGTTGGATGGGATCGAGAGGATTAGTATAGACATCTTGTCTCGCCTATAAGCTGATTATTTTTTTGTTACAGCAAGTCTTAGACTGTTGACAATTCCTGCCACTGTCACACCACTACAGCCTCTCTTTGAGTCTGGAACTATACAATGTATAGCCAAGAAGATGGGGGTCTTTGGTCATGGCATATTAATGCAATATTTGTAGGTATCATGGCAGCTGTTGGATTTCTCTTGCCACGCACCGGCATGGGTAAAATTATTTGTCTCTTTAGTCTGTAACTGTAACTCTACATTCTTGAGACATAATGAACTTTTCCCAGTTAGATGACATGAACTTCATCATGATGACATGAACTTTACATACACATATTGCACAACTTAAAAATACAATTGGTCAAACAAATGACACAATGCTTACAAAATGACGAGAAAATATTAACCCTCTGGTTGGGTGGACATAAAATGACACAAACTAATCTGAGGAAACCTACCAATGAGTCCCAGCTTGAACCAACCGACCCCCTTGGACCCCCTGGCGACGAGGCTGAAACCCACTGTGGCCCCAACGATGCTGTGGGTGGCTGATACAGGCAATCTGAAGAATGTGGCCAGAAACATCCAGATGCAGGAACCTGAGAGAAATAGAGAGGAGCTTTATTTAACAAAACACACATGATTGCACCTCTTTGCGCTTGAAAAAGACTTTAAAAAGTCTTATGTTTGAATTGTTACAGTCCTAGTTTAAACATTTATACATTAAGGAGAATATACATCCATATTTTGAGAACAAATAAGAACAATGCAATAAATTAAAAAAAGCATTTCCATTTATTTGGATCAATAAAATAATCTTATCTTATTTGTTACATGTGTGATAGAAATGTAATCTTGGAGGCATGTTAAGGGGGCATAAAAGCACAAGATTTTTTTAGTACAATAATTATGATGATAGATAAGATGCATATAAGAAAGAATAATCCTAATAATTGCAGGTTAAATTGATATTTGATAAAAGTATATGAAGACTAAATGAATGTAGGGGATCAAAAATGTCATAAGCACTAATTGATACCAAAAAAAAATTATAAATAAAGAGACATAAAAATATCTGTTAGGTACAGACCTGTTAGAGCCGATAAATTTCCCATCAACAATAACTTCTCAGAGTTGTTATAGGGCTCCACATCTATGATGCCTTTCCTTATGGTGTCGGACACTCGATACCCTAGACAGAAAAAATCATTTTGTCAGACTTAAAAAACCCTGGACAGAAAAATTATGGTTTCAGACAGAAAATAATGTCAGCAGCCATATTTAGAACAGTTTTCCAGGTATGCCGCTGTGATTTTGATCTTTAAGTCTCTTAGTTAATGACCCTAATGGGTGCAACTGGTCAGTTTGACCAAGATGGATGCGACAGGTCAGTTTATGACCTTATAAAATAAAGATTTTTTTTTCTCTTCTAAACTCACCAATCAAAACTGCTCCTAGAATTTCGAATATGGATGCCAGGATACATGCCTTGAGCAGAGTGATCACCCTTGATCCCACGGATGTTCCGAATGTATTGGCCACATCATTGGCACCAATACCAAAGGCGAGCAGGAATGAGATGATGAATGCAACGACAACGATCCATAACCAGTCATCTGGAATATTGGACATACTGCCACTCACTGCTGAGGTAGACTTGTGTTAAATAAATACTTGACCCTGCCAGAGAGAAGTAAAATAAAATAAAATTTTAAAATCAGAAAATGTTTTAAGAAGGTAAAAAAACTGACACAAATAACCATCATGACTTTCAAGGTTGACCAGTGGCCCTAGGTTTCAACACATGACAACACTGTTAAACTGAACATAAAACAGTAACAGGTGGGGATAAAAAGTCTCACTTGATTACTGAAAAGTCTGCCTTGATTACTGAAGAGTCTGCCTGGATTACTAAAAGCCTGTCTTTATACTATAAAGTCTGTCTTGATTACTGAAAAGTATGTCTTGATTACCGGTACTAAAAAAGTAAGTCTTGATTGCTAAAACGTCTGACTTGATTACTAAAAAGTCTGTCTGGATTATTAAAATGTTTATAACAAACAATAAACAGAGAATGGAGTTGAGAGAGTTGAGATAAGATTGAGTTAATTCACCGCACCTGGCATTAGAAGAGGTTGGCACAGAGAGAGCTAGTGAATTCGGTCACCAGCACGGGGAGTGAGTTGGTTATCATCCTGCTTTCATTTGGAAGACGGTGAGCGTGTTAGAAATATTGAAAGAAACATTTGGACAGCAGATCCAGATTTTTATCTCTTGGCAATGATGAGGCAGACAAATTATGTCATACTGTAATTTACATATAAATGATTTAATATAAATATTAATTATATATATTTTTTTTAAAGAAACACATTTTTTTTATCGAAAGCTGAAACCAGCGAAGTGAAAATAATAATAACAAGAGCACCAACAGGCCCCTGGCTTTAACTAGTCACATGCTCCAACGCAGTTCGACACAGTTTTCATAACAAATGAATCATTGTACGTATGTCTGATCTTGTACTAAGCCAAGTTTAGCCATAAACAACTAATCCTTATAAGTATAAGACTAGAGTGATAAATCTGTTGTTTTTTACGGGGTAATTTCCGCAATAAATTCAGCATGGGACAGATAACTAAGCTTCAGATTTAAATTCACAGGCGGAGCCAACCCAATCATTTAATACAGTGGTTCGCAACCTTCCTAATGCCGCGACCTTTTAATACAAGTTCCTCATGTTGTGGCGACCCCCAACCACAAAATTATTTTCGTTGCTACTTCATAAGTGTAAAGTGTATGTGTTTTCCTGTGGTCTTAGGTGACCCATGTGAAAGGGTCGTTAGACCCCCCCTCCCCCCCCCCCAAGGGGTCGCGCCCCACAGGTTGAGAACCGCTGATTTAATATAACGTTTTCGCAAATCGCAGCCTGCCCACTAACCGAGCGCACGCCACACTCACACCTTTTCCTCTATTGGACGTCATCAGCTATTCAATTTTCGCCAGCTTTCTTCCAGAACGCATAATGGCGTCATCAGGTTCTTGTGATAGGTATATTGCTGCACAGAAACATCCAGCGTCGTCTGCAGACAGTGGCATAGGAAGGGGAGCGGAGGGGTCAGTGCGCCCCGGACAGCTCTCTTTTTTTTTTAATGTATATTGAGGGACGACATTTTCGGACAACTGCAGGGTTTTTTTTTCTTCGTGGAACAGGGGTGGCAAAAAAAGGTTTGGCCCGCCCCCCGGGAGCAAATAACCCTAGTTACGCCACTGTCTGCATATCGACCAAAAAAAAAAAGACTTTGCCTAGACAGCCATGTGTTGTGTTACGTTTAGAGATTCTGTGTTACACTGTCAAGGTTGAATGTGGTAAAAGATACCATTGAACACAGAAGAACAATGTGGTAAAAGATACCATTGAACACAGAAGAACAATGTGGTAAAAGATACCATTGAACACAGAAGAAAAGAGTGTCAAGTTAACTGAAAATGGTAATCCTCGCCTCCATTGTGGGCAGGCCATGACTATGACATCAGTGTGATCACTGTATAGAGAAACTACATCAACAGCCGGGGACGTGCACGTGTAAGAGCTGTTCATTAGTATTTGAGACCTCAACCAACATAAGGACATATGTGACATGGTGAATATTCAAGATAACTTATTTGTCGAGACTAACACCACTCCAGTCTAGTGCTCTTAGCCAGTGTGTCTTTCGGACATCTCTCCGGTAGGGGAACTGCACCCCTCCCCACCCGGAGGAAATCAAGCCCCACCCCCCTCATCCGACTGATGGCCCGTCTAAGCTGACCCAGCAGTAAGTTCATTTTGATCCGACTGATGGCCCGTCTAAGCTGACCCAGCAGTAAGTTCATTTTGATCCGACTGATGGCCCGTCGAAGTTGACCCAGCAGTAAGTTCATTTCGACACAGCGACCCCCTCCGTCTGTGCTGATCAACGAGTATCGATTTATTCTCTGTGAATCGGTCCCATACCCCCCCCCCACACTTTGTTTTTTCTTGAGTGTGTGTGTAAGTCTAGGCATTATTTGGTTTTACATGATTAACTTGCTCAGAGCGGCAGACAATGGAAGCGTTGTATGTGTTGCGAAGAGAAGTGCTCAATTCAATATAAAAAATATTTATATATTTATAAAATGTAATCTTATCCAACTTGAGAGCGAAAAAAAAAATTCAGGCAGTGCTCAGTCACGCAGTTCCAGAATTGTCCCGGAAATAGGACACGCGCCAAAACGTGAACGCCAAACGGTGTTAACCCCTTGTGTGCCACGACACCACGTTGGTTGTGTGATCACGGAGCCATGTTAGTGGTGCACCACGATGGTTGTGTGATGACGGAGCCATGTTAGTGGTGCACCACGATGGTTGTGTGATGATGGAGCCATGTTAGTGGTGCACAACATTGGTCGTGTGATGATGGAGCCATGATAGTGGTGCACAACATTGGTCCTGTGATGATGGAGCCATACTAGTGGTGCACCACGTTGGTTGTGTGATGATGGAGGCATGTTAGTGGTGCACCACGTTGGTTGTGTGATCACGGAGCCATGTTAGTGGTGCACCACGTTGGTTGTGTGATGATGGAGCCATGTTAGTGGTACACCACGATGGTTGTGTGATGATGGGGCCATGTTACTAGTCTGACGGAAACTTCAGGAAGCTTCAATGGGTGAACCGTGAAATCGGTTACAATGTTCAAGCTCATTAAACAGTGAACATAGAAACTAGATTTAGAGAAACTCCAACCTAATCGACGCAAAGCTTGGAAGCTCTTAAATTGTTATATTTATATAGATATGTATAGGTCGGCCCCAAAAAAGTGAAAACACCTCATGGCAAAGGGTTATTTAATGTGATTCAATTGGTAAATATTGTTTTTGTCATTTAGGGCCAACGGAAATTGTCATGATGTCATCATTTAGTCAGTAAATCAGTACAGTAACGAAATGTATACAGTTAACAAATGTTGATGTAATTGTAAGTATGTTACAATGTAAGAGCTGCTACTTTTTTCTGGGCCACCCTTGACCCTGTATATATATTTCAGGTAAGTTAATGATAGTTCGGCGATAACAAGGATACAAGGAAGCGTTCTCATACAATATGGAAATGATCAGTCGGAATAGGAACTTATGGTGCAGATACAGATAAAGATAAGGGGGTTTTCGACAAAAAAATCAAGTCCTAGACTAGGGAACTAGAGGAGAACATGGAGAAAAAAAAAAGGGGGGGGGGGAATATGGGGGCCGTTTGACGAAGAACGTCCCCTTTCTTAATCCCACCTTTCAAACATACAGATACAGATAAAGATAAGGGGGTTTTCGACAAAAAAATCAAGTCCTAGACTAGGGAACTAGAGGAGAACATGGAGAAAAAAAAAAGGGGGGGGGGGAATATGGGGGCCGCTTGACGAAGAACGTCCCCTTTCCTAATGCCGACTGTCAAACATGTTGATTTGTTTAACACACAATGTTAACACAGGTTTGCCGCAGATTGCCCGGTTCTGGAACCTTTCACCATGAAGTAAGTTTTCAGAATAACTTTGTCGAGAGTTTATTAAAGCTTAAACCGTTATTGGTCC